TGAAGTTTTAGCAAATATTTGACCATAAGAGAAGTAAAATACTGGTTTGCTAGGACTGCCATAACAAATCACCCCATCAGATTTTACACAATTTTATTGTCTCAGGAGGTTAGAAGTGTAATTTAGAGCTTAGAAGTCTGAGATGAAAGTGGCAGTAGTTCTGATGTCTTCTGAGGTCTTTCTCCATGACTTGTAGATGGTGATCTTAACCTGTGTCTTCATACCATCTTTCTTATGTGTGTATATGACCTAATTTCTTCTTATAGGGACACCATTTATATTGGATTGGGATCTACCTGAATCTACCTCACTTTTTCTTAATTACCTTTTAAAAGCCTGATTTCCAAATGCAGTCATTTTCTGAAGTAATAATAGTGTGTTAGTTTTTTCTCCTTGCTGAGACAAAATACCCTACAACCACAGTTAAAGGAGGGAAGGCTTATTTGGCCCACGGTTTGTAGAGCTTTCAGTCCATAACTGGCTGGCTCAAGGCAGAGTAGCATGGCAGAGGGGCATCGCAGAGGATAATGGTTCATGGCAGCCAGAAGGTAGCAAAACAAAGAAAAGAGTGAGGGACCAGCCTCTTTCTGTCCTTTATATTGGATGCAGGCTACCCACCCTAGAGCTGGTGTGGCACTCTCATCCGTAATCCTAGCTAGAACTATGCCAAACCAGTTAGTGGGCTGATTTAGTAACTGCACACCCTTAATCCCAGCATCTTCCACCCTAGATTCAGCCAGCTCTGAAAAAGCCCCATCTAAGACTGCAGGAGGCTTTGGGGGCCATCTAGACACAAACCATAACAAGTAGCCCGAACATTAACCTATGGAATTTGGCAGAAGTACAACTGAACTCATAACATGAAAAAGTATACTCTATTTTCTTTAATACTGTTTCTCTAGCATCATAGATTTATTCTTAATAGATGAAGGGTCCTATCTGTGAAAGTTATTCGCTCTAGAAGTATACAAGGAAACATTAAAGCATTTTAGAGGAAACGTAGTTACACAGCTAGGCGGTGATAACTGGAATTCGGAGAAGATATCGATATGGCCTGGAGGGGAATTGTAGAAACTGGAAGCCGTCACTGGCTTCCCTCTGATGATTTTTCTGTAGCTAAAATTTTTCATTGACACAAGTTAAAAAACAGTAAGGGCATCACCCTCCCTTTCCTACATGTCATCTGAAATCTTTTGGAGCACTGACTTCATTGACCTACATTGAATACAATTTTAAATGTGTTAGTCACTTTCCTTTAGCACACCACTATTACTTGCACAATTTTATTTTAACATTTTTGATACAGTTGAACTTTGAGCAAAAGACAGTATTCTCTGAGACTTTATAGATTCCCTAAAAGAGAAAATAAGGCAGAATAAAGTAAAATTAATCTCTTAACTTCAAGTCACATAGACTTTTCATAGGTAATGGGTTATTCTCTGTAAATAGAAAACAATAGTTTTATAAATCTGTCCAAAAGTATACAACTCTAGCCAGAGGTCCAAAACTACCCAACTGAGTCTTCTGAAAATCTGCAATTCTGTTTCAAAAGACTACATATATTATGCATTTTAATTATTTAAAAAATATTAACAATATTTGAGTTCTGTCAGTACCTTCCCTTTCTGCTTTAAAATTCATAAAATGTTCATTTCCAGCCTTAAATACTTAGCAGTGTTAGTGTAAGCCTTGCTGTGACTTGGATATGGGTCACGTGTGTTCTGTGAAAGTTCATGTACTGGAGCCTTGGTCCTGATATGGTGGTGTACAAATAAATGGTAGACCTTTTAAGAGGTGGGACATAGTGCAAAATAATAGTAATCTTCTGAGTGTACATGGTCACTATTAGCCATAAAAGACATGGGAAACTTGTTTTATCATGCAGCGATGTGCTCATTTAAACTCAGAAGATTCTATTTCTAAAATGGAAGAGAGGGGGCTGGAGATATAGCTCAGAGGCATAAGTGCCTGCTTGGCAAGCACAAGGTCATGAGTTCGATCCCCAGTACCGCTAAAAAACAAAACAAAACAACAACAACAACAAAAAATAAAATGGAAGAGAATAGGGTGAATGCTACAAAACAGTAACAGTGCTATAATCATTATCTTTTGCTGTTACCGAAATAACTGGTTAAATAGATTTAAGCTTAGATATGAGTATGTAATTTAGGGGTCAAGTGGGTGTCTTTGGAGATGCAATTATATTATGCATCATTATTCTGTTTTATGCACAGAAGAAATATGCTTTTAATACATGAATGGGTATCTGTTGGTTTTTGTTGTATAATCCACATTACTATATTTTTTTACACTGGCTATTTATTTATTCCCATCTATATTTTACTTACTTTCTCAAGGAGAATTTATGGAGGATTTTCAAGGAGAGATGATCTTACTGCATAGTGAAATAGAGGAGTGCTTTGTGTCTCTTTGTGTATGTAAAGTCTCATGGAAATCTAAATTAACTTATCCAATAGAAACAGTTTTCCCCTATCCTCAAACCTCAAAGTTTTAACTTCTGTTACCATGTTTTAATGATTAATAGAGTAACAGTATTCTTTTGAATGTTCAGTACTGTGTGTGAGAACTCTGAAAACAATTTCAAATGATATGTGAAGCCACTCATTAGTTTGTGAATATGCTTTCTGTACCTTTCCCGGGTATATTTTACATAATGACCAGCTATTTCTGGGGAAGACAAGATAATTTGAAGGAGTTTTCTGACATGATTTTTGGTATAGAAATTTTTGTCATTATTATTTGCTTTAGGCTTTCTATTAATTTATAGCTTTATTTGTTCATGTGTTAAATCTTCCTACAAGGTTTAATGAAGTCTTTAGTGTCAGGTGCCGTGCTCAGTGTTGGGGAAATGAAAATATGTGAAACCCGTCTGTCTCTGACTGAGCTTAGTGTCACTGTCCTCGCTGTGCTGTGCTTGTCCGCACCCTGTGCAGTAACTGGGCAGGGAGCAGGGACGGTGTGGGGAGCAGGCAGGGTGCTGAGAGCTGGACGCTGGGAAGAGGAGGCTAGCATGGCCAGGGAATGAGCAGGTCGTAAAGCAAGGGCTGGGACACTGAAGCTACGTGTCAACCTTAGCAAGGGCCGATCGTAGTGGCTCAAGGAGTAAATACGTTAGGAGGTCAGGAAAGGGAGATCTATGGCATAGGATATAGTCTGTTGTCTATCGTTTAGGTACGCTTGACTTTAAGCCAGGAGAGAGAAGGGTCAAGCAAGGCACAGACTTGAAGGAGGGCTTTACAGATATTCTGGATCACTTATGTGCTGAAGAGAGGTGGAAGCTATAGAAAATCAGATAGTAAAGATAGGGTAGAGAGCAAGAATAACCGATACAGCCTGGCTTCAGGGGAGACGAGGAAATGCACTTCAGCACACAGAGAAGGAATAAGAGCTCTGGCGTTTTTATGTGCTGAGAGGACAAAGGATGTGTGTAGATGTGAGCATCTCCATTAACAGATATCCAAATACAAGCCCCGGCCAGTGCATCGGTCCTGTGGCTACAAGGTTAGCAAGGTGTGGCTGCAGCCTAGAGGCACAAAGAGGGCAGTGGCCTGGCAAGCGCAAGGTCGTGAGTTCGGTTCCCGGTACCGGAGAAAAACCAAAAACAAACAAACAAACAAACAAACAAACAAAAAAAAGAGGGCAGCGGGACGTGCGCTAAGTGTCCTGGGACGTGCGCTAAGTGTCCTTGGAGTTGTCAGCAGGGCTGGTGAACTCACAGGGAGAGAAGGAGCAAGGCTTCCAGAATTGGGAAGGGAAAAAAATAAAAACAGGTTGTGCTTGAAGGAGCGGGCAGGGAAATGAGAAGGGCTGAGGTAGGACTGGGTTTGGGGAAATGCGGTGGAAATTGAAAACCATGACTGCAGTTACGTGTGTGCGTATGTGTAAAATTGAGAAGTATAGCGGCAATTATATATTTATCACGATGTATACTTTTTTGGTTTAAGCATCAGGTGAAACTCTGAAAGTACTTGAGAAAATGAATTTTTATGATGAAAGAAGCTCCTTGCTTATCCTCCCTCATCCTCTTTGATGACTTTTTTTGAAGCTAATTTAAGTGAAGAAAGCCAATACATCCAAAAGTGCTTTGGTACCCTGGCATCATTTCAAAGAAATCTCCTTTCCTAGTTAGTTAACTACATTTCCCCAGGAAAAAAAAACTCTTCTCTGTCAATGTAGCATCCTTTAACAGGACTCCTGCTGCTCTGTCCTTGTATCTCGCGGTGACAGCTGCGAACATATATACTATTGACTGTGGATGTGTGGTATACACCCGACTGGAGCATGCCCGCTAATTGCTTTGAGAGCTCCATATAGACAATGCTGTCTTGTAGCAGCCTGTGTGGATAGGCCCAGTCACAGGGTTAATTCTGCTTGACAGCCCAGCGGCGGCATCTTGAGGGTAATTACCCAACAGAAGTTTTCCCACAGCCAAGCTGAGAGCTTCAAAGGCTTCTGAATTTACAACTAGTATTAACCTGTATCTGAAACATAATGCTCCCTCAAGGGCTCAGGATTTTTTTTTTCCCTTCCTCTTATTAAGTGTATGGAGTTACTAGGTTCATTTGCTGTGTGCTAAGAACTTACTGAAAAATTACTTCGTGTTAAATAATTGAAAATCTTTAATAATAAAGTAAAACAGCATAATTATAGATTTGGGGTTTTTAATTGCTTTATATACTGAAGTAATTTATAGAGGTTGGGTGCATTTAAAAAATTTATCCTCTTTTCTCTCAAAGATAAGCTTCAGAAGTTATTTTTTTCCATATGGGGCTGTCACTTACTGCTGTGTGCATATTTAGGGGACTAGGATAATGCATGTGTTTAAAATCGTTAAAATAAATATATATTTACACTTTAGAAAAAACATTTTACTTCATTACTGATGTACAGAAATCTGTAACTTTTAACACTTCTCCTTGAAATAACTTGTTATTTTATAAGCAACTTTTACATTGTAAAAATTCTTTTTCACTTTGCAGATCAGAAACCAAATTTGACTCCGGTTCAGGTATGTTTACACTGATAATGTTATTGTGAGTATGTTTTATTTGCATTATTCTCCAAGGAGTAATTTATCAGATCAACCATTTTGATTTTAAACACACTGGTTAGTTTCTTTTGCAAATGTGAGCCTTTCAGGAAGGCGGGACTATTGCGCACTCTGAGTCATAATTTGAGACTTCCACTTAGGGATTCTTCATAGTTCTGCAATAAGCATTAAATATTCTAGATCTGCACAGTTCAGGGATGGGGTTTGTACATTCTTACTGATCAAAATAGAATATTATTTTCTCCACGAACAAAGCATCTTGAATGATTTGAAGATTCCCTGGAAGTGCTTTGTGATCGAATGCAGGTGATGGATATATTTAATCCAGCAAGGTCTAACGAGTTTCAGCCAATAGAAATAAAAATTTGTCTGTGACTTAGTTTTTTGATGTTTTATTGGGTGCTGATGGAAAATTAAAATCACTTTAAGCCATTACTTTATATCTAGTAAGACAGAATTTATATCCGCACAAAGGCCTATCAACCTTGTTAGATGTTTTCTTCTCATTAAGCATGAATATCGCCATGTGGTTCTCAGGTTTGTCTTTATGTCACTTGCTGAGGTTTATGCACTTCAGAGTTTCTGATGATGCTTAAAATTAAAACACAACATGTGACTCCTGTTCCACCCTGACAAATTATGCCCTTTGATGGGCTGTTGATAAATAAAAATTGTCTTTTAATTCCAGGAGAAAATAATTTGCAGAAAAATAGATGGCTTTTTTGAGTATAAAAATAACATTCTTACCCTGGTATGAGTTCCACAATAATTTAACTTAAAAATGTTTTTGCTTCTTCTGTTCACAGAGGAGCCAAATGCTGTAACTTCTTTTCCATAGTATCGCTAAGGAGCTGACATGCTTTTCTTTATAAGCTTCATCTTTCTACTGTATAGCTTTATGAATTTCTCCAATTTGCTGAGACTCTTTAACTATGAGGTCTGTACATTTCAGTTAGCAAATTCACCTAACTTAGGAACTAAGATTCTAGAACTCCACCTATTTTGTATATTTTGGGGCTGCTGAATTACATATGCAAGTTATAGTATACAATAAACATTTGGCATAGAATATTGACCAAGTTGAGACTACTGGTGTGATGTCTTTGTCTTGTTTCAGTGATTTGCTGAAGGTGCCTCAAAGTAAAATGAAAGTCTTCTTCATTTTTCAGTGGTTACCATCTTTAAGAATACTAAGACATAAATGATCAAAATCAATGGAGCGTAAATTTTCATATGAAATGGCGTGTCTTCTTTCTCTCTGCCATTCAGTCACCAAGTATTTATGAAGAACTCACTTCATTATGATCTGATCTCCAAACATCAAACCAGCCACTGGTTTTAGGGTACAGGATCTGGAATATAGCTTTTAGAAAGGAAAAAGTCCAGTAGGCTAATGCTAAAGGTAAAATCTGGAAATAGTGCACTAAACTGAAATATTAGGCAGCTGTTGTCAAAGTCAGATAATTTATGTTAAATTTTCAAATCCAAATTAAAGTATGCTGCTAAATTCCTGCACCAGAGCTTAATATTTATTGTGGAAATAGTTATAACATCTGTACCAGCACACATCTTTTCCTCTTGTGACTCCTATTTTCTTCAAGTCCTTTTTAAAAAATGTCTGTCATGGGCAACATCTGCATGTCTTTAAAAACTACAAGTTTCTGTACGCTTAAAGCCTTATGGAGACTACTGATTAAAAGTTTATTTATTCTTTTAATTTTGAACTAAAATATGGAGCAAATTCATATGGTTTCAAATTAAGAAACAGGTATTTTTTCTTGTAACCCCTTTTAGCATAGTATTGAATGAGGAATCATGAGAAAGGAAGTGAGAAATGTATTCTTTGGCATTTTATATCATCAAAATTTTGGTTAGAAATAAGGTAGCATATTGGAACAATTAAATGTATAACTTTAATAGGTTCAGATTCTCTATGGTTCATCAAATGTAGAATGTAAACTAGTTCTGTTTAATGTTGTATGCAGCTGTGACAAAGTAAGATTTTTAACTGAAGGATGATACCAATCTTTTTTTTAAAAAGCTCTAAAAAAATAAATACTGTGGTCAATGGCTAGCCATTGGAAAGGATTTCAAAGACAAATTCACACATACACCTTGTAATATATACGTTATGTATGTATACATATATAAAGGTAAAGAGAATACATGTATTTGTATATGTATATTTGTATGTAAGTATTTTTTCAAGGAAATGACCCATTTTATGCAGAGTTTACTGTACATATAGTTTCTGTAAATGACTTTCAGGCTATAAAGTGAAATTCAGGAAGAAAGAAATATTTTCATTGCTACTACATGGTAAAAAAACACTTCAGTTGTTGAATGTATACCAAATGGTCAACCTAGAGATTAATACAAATATTTTAATCAGAATTTTATAAATTATTTTCAAAAAGCAATTCCATACATAACTTGCTTGGTCTTTTTGTTTTGTTTTGTTTGTTTGTTTTGGAGACAGGGTCTTGCTATGTAGTTCAAACTGATCTTGAACTCACAGTGATCTTCCTGCCTCAGGCTCCTGTGTGCTGGGATTATAGGCACGACCATGCCTGGCTTCCTCCTGGTTTTTTTAAAGTTAAAATTTTTATAATGAAAAATTTCAGTCATATTTAGAGGTACAGCATAGTATTTTGAGCACTCAACATAACTATTATCTAAAATGTACTGATTTTAATTCTTTGCTATATTTATTTCACCCGTATTTTTGTTTGAAACATTTTGAAGTAAACTATATACATTTATGTGATTTTTAAAACCTGAAAATCTTGTCTTGACTGATTGAAATAGGTCATTTTTCATCTATCTTAAAAATTTGGGCCACATACAAATTATGGAAAAGATTGTGGTATCTCCGTGTCCACATTCAGTTAAAGGGACTTAGAAATTCTGCTTATGGAGAATTGTGTGGTAAAGAAATCCTTCAATCATAATTAATTCTCACCTGAAAACCCCAGGAATGGTCTATCCTCACAATTAATTGGGTTGGAATTTTAGCTGCCATTTAGGTATGGTCTCTGTGTATGGATTTATATAATGATTAAAAAGCTTTTCTGTTGCTTTCTAACTCGACTTGCTTTGCCAGTTGGGTAGAGCGAGCCTACCTTCTCTCTAAAGGTGCTTTAAGCTTTCCATTTTAACGCTGCTTCCTAGTTGATGTAGTAATAATGTTGCTTGCTTAGGATCATGTGGAGTTGGTGATTTCGCTAATAGAGTAAAACAGACTTCCTTTTATGTTCAGAAGTAGCAAGTAGCTGTGCTCTTCTCCCCACCTCCCAAGAAGGGAAGTTAGTGGATGCTGGAGGAAGCAGAACACTGAGTTTAATGTAGTGATTAAACATGAAAGCCATATATCAAATCTCAGGAGAAACATACTTTTGAAAGAAGCAGAGAACTGTGGAGCATATTGCCTGATAGGCTATATAAACAGAACCCCGGAGGTCAGTGTGTGGATGCAAACCAATTAAATAAAGAACTTACTGGCTTTGCTTTCTGTCATCTCGATGGGGAGGATCACAAGTTAACATGCACCGGGTTGAAGTATAAACTTTGCTGGAGTAAGCTGGGCACCTTTGAAAACTCCATTAACTCTTTCAATTCATTACCAGGATTTTTTTTTTTTTTTAAAATCAAAGTGCCTAGGAAGTTAAAAATTTAAATTGAAAATATATGGCCTTCCTGCACATACCCTTCAGGGGAGGTGCTAGTAATGAGCTGAGAGGAAGGACAAAGTAGAGAATGAGCCGCTGAGAAGACCCAGAGTGGCCTGTGCAGTCAGATTTCAAGAATGGGCATGTCTTTCAAAAGCAGACCATTTGGAAAGGCAGGATAACTGGCAAAAGATGTTTTACTCTTCTTCAGAATTCTGGGTATACAGCAAAGGTGTTAGGATTTACTGATCACTAATACATCAGGATACTATTATTTCTGCTCTGATCTAAATAAGAAGAACTTAATACTAGAAAGTTAATAACTATATGTCAAGGACTGCTTGTAGGCTAATTCTGTAATTTTAACCATTTCAGGTAATGTTTGGGTGAGAAAATAAGTTAAAAGGTATAGTTTCGTGGTCCATAAAGATTCAAAACAAAAAAAATTTTTTTTCTATCCAGTGATGTTGGCTGAGAAAATGAATAAGCTTATGTTTAGTGCTTGTTGATACTGGGCTGCCTGGAATAGCTGTGCTGAGGAAATGGGCTTATAGAACACAGCCACTCAGAGGTATAAGATTTCATGAAAGCAGGCTACGGAGGATTAAGAACCCTAATGAGCATGGGTCCGGGTGGAGTGTTGAGGTGGGAGCTCGCTATTAAATAAAGCCCAAGAGTGGAGAAGGTTAGGAGATCCTAACAGACCCGATAATAAAAGGCACAACAGAATATAATTATCCTGACAGGGAAAACCTTCAAGGAACAAAAAGCAGCTAGTGTCGCTGTTAGGATCTGTGTTTAAAAAGGAATCTACACGCCAGGCTAAGGAAATCAAAGAATACGATCAGTCAGCACAGAAGGTCAGTGAGAAATAGCGTGGCTTGTTATGGTCCTCAGTAACCGGGAGGGAAAGGAGGAACTTGAACGTACGAGACCTAGAGTTTTAAAAACTGGGCCAAACTGTCGCATTTGTTAATACGTTTTCAAAAGTCTTCTAAGGAAGCACTAATAAGGAACATATTTTCAGTTCTTAAGTGTGACAATAAAATTTAGTTTGGTCATTTTAACTTTGTTATCTTTAAAGTTCTCGTAAAAATGAAGAACAAATAAAATATTGATCTGTCTAAGAATATTGAAATGTACATTTGGGCATCATTCAATAGTAAAAATGAGGAAAATACACGAATAAGGAGTATTCATCTATGAATTCATCCAACATATATTACTGAGCGTTCTGTATGCCAAATGCTGAGGTTATAGCTGTGAAAATGGTGGATACAATTCCTCCTC